CGCCCCGGAGGACGCGGGCGGCAGGACCTCGATGCGTCTGGGTGGTCCCGCCACCCGCATTCTCCGGGGCGAGAAAAGCCCCGTTCGTAAGTACAGATCCGACATAAGTCGGATCCGCGTAACTCGGGGACTGCCTGTAGTTGTGATGAACCAGAGGTTTGAAGATTGTCTAGGGGTGGTTTTTTGTGGCAAGGGACAGGGGCTGCGAAGGAGGAAAGCCCGAGACTTAAATGCACTTAACCAATTACAAACTTTATTACTACAATTTGATTATATTAAATCACTGTCTCTGATTTGTCTTAGACAGCACAGCATGAAAAAAAAGAATATAACAAATAAAACCAATACATCAATAATAAAAACTCCTCCTGTAGCCAGTCCTTCTATGGTTATCTTTGAACAGCTGGTGGAGTTAGTCATTAATCTACATATAATTAACAACCTCTAAATATGAAATGGTTAATACAATATAGTAAGCAATACTCACAAGCCCAGAAATAATTACAATGCACAGACACAAAATAACGTGTAGCATGCTCTGGATTAGTAGACCCTTTCGTGATTCGGTGGGTGGGAGGCGGCCTTGGGTGATCAACCCCTCAGCCAGGCTGGACGATACCTGCCTTCTATTTTTTGATACGGAATCTCCCCGAGCTTAGGGCACAGGGTGCTTTATACTATAATTTTGACATCCGGTACCATATTAGGGTTCCTTCCTTGTGACATGACGTCTGTCTCAAGGCATTGTGGTCAGTGCCTGATGGAGACATGACTGGCACACGTGAAAGCTAGCTATGTTTTTGCTTCCCTGCTCCAGGTGCTTGTTAACACAAGTACATGACAGCTAATTTCTCTTATTCCTATCTTGTCCTGTTTTTTAGTGCTCATTAACTTAGTGTATGGGACAGCTTGTGTCCCTGCTCTTATCTTTTTGGCCCAGGTGCTTGCCAAGTTAAGTTCCGTTTACTGAGAACAGTGCTGAGCACCCGAGGGACTTCAAGCTCTGTCTCTGGATCCGCCTCAGGGCCTGTGTTTTTCTTGTGAGGGGCTTTTGTGTGGCAGTATGGGCAATATGTGCGAGGCCGTGGTCAAAAGGACCTGCTACGTGACAAGTTGCATGAAGCATCTGGTCAAAATTAACTCGTTTTGTGAAGACTGAAGTAAACTAGGCATTAAACACCTCAGCCTTCTTGATGTCATTCATCATTCATCCATTTGTCATCCATAATCTATTGACTCTCTGATTTATATATGTGTTCATTTATTATTGTATTTTAAATATGCTAAATTTTGAACTGTTTCTTTGTATATCTGATTTACAGGTTATTGTCAAGAGCATGGGATGGAATCTTGTTTGCCCTCTTGTTAGGTGTATTTTGAGTTATAAGCAGGAAGATGAGAAGAGAGAACATTGTCTGAAAATACTAAATCAGTTGGTACAGGTATGTTCAACCATGTAGTCTTAATAAAGGTAAATCTCATATATTATCTCTCTCTCTCTCTCAGGTTTGTGTCTGTTTGCAAGTCCCCCTATATGGTAAGAGCTAGGATCACCAAATTTGGTATTAGGCTATTAGAAGACATTTAGAGCAAAACAACAACACAGAACACTGAGAGCCAGGACTGGTGGCTGTAAGCAAACTTTACGGGGCTGCGGGAAACTTGGCCACTCCCATGATAAGTAGATATCTGAATATTGACAGACCACAGTGTGCTGGATTAGAGAGATTCAATCTATAGTAGAGTACATGCTGAAGTTTTGCTTTTTCTTTTACCCTCTATCAGTTAAAGTGGTCTGACACCAACGTAGAATAAAATTTTAAGCAATCTAAATTTCCTTACATATAGCTTTATTCTAAATGCATATTTTAAAGCAGAGGTTTTCAAACTGTGGAGCATGTCCCTTTAGAGGGGTGCAGAGGTATGGTCAGGAGGGACGGTTGGGCCAGCTCCACGCTGAGAGCTTCAGAGAAGCACTACAGCCATTCAGTCAGTGTCAATGCCTTCAGGGGGAGGGTCTCATCCAAAAATTGTAACTCAAAGGGGAAGCTCATTTTTAAAAGTTTGAAAATCACTATTGTGAGGAAAACACGAGCTTTTGGGGATTTTTAGATTTTGATTGTTTGCAACAATAATGTCCTCGATGTTTTACATCTTCTGTCATTGCCATGCAAAAACAGTGTCACAGTTTTGGAAGTATGGTTATTGTTGTAAATGTACTTTAGAGATAACAATACAGTGGCTTGACCCTTTCTTGCAGCTCTGTAATCCAAAGGAACTTTTATTGGGTTTACTTGAACGGATTGAGCAGACCTCTGGGGAACAGATATCCCAAACTATTTTGCTCTTGCTTCAGCCTCTGCAGACAGGTAATGAGCACTTTCCCATCTGAATGTACATTACTTGTATTTTAATTTGAATGTTTTATTACTTGTATTTCAAGTAGTGCTGTTGAATGCCTAGTGTTCTTGGGGAGTATGCAAAGTATAATTTCAGTACTTACTGGGACTTGTTATTAAGAGTCCCTAAGGACACAAGAGATGGTTTAAATGCAGAATTTTTCAAATCGGCATCTGTTGAAATGCAATACTCAGCCTTTGCTTAAAAATCCTTCATACTTTTTGTGAGTTGCCATCCTCCTGCTCCTGAACCAGTCATCCATTTTTATGGCTTTTATTCGCATGCCCTTTATAGGTATTGAAAGTTAACTAATTCTTGTGTATTAGTGAAAGCCCCTGTAGCAGGCTCCCCGCTCCACCACAGCGCCCCCTGCCGTCTGCTCGGGGAATTAGATCTGCCAGCAGGTGGCGCAGTCTTTCAGGACACTGCCCTCCGGCAATGCCCACTGTAGCCTGAGCTTTTCCCCCTTCCGGGGGCGGTTGTTAGTTGTAGGTCGGCGGGCCTTTCGGAGGCGGTTCCTCCGCCCTAGCCCACTGGGTGGATAGTCCGCCCTATGGCCCGACCGTGCCTTAAAACAGTCCGAGTCTGTGAGTCTATCTCCGGCCTTACTTCAGGTCGGGGTGAGAGACAATAGTTCAGGGGCCCGGCCTTGCTTCAGGCCCGGGCCATGGGGGAAGAAATTCTGCGTATACTCAAGTCCCTTAACTCAGTTAGGGCAGGGCAACAGTCCTAGTCCTGGCCCTTTATAAGGTCCGGTCCGGATCCTGGCCAGGTACCAAGACCACCATACGGAGGCCCAGGCCCTCGAGCAGGGCAGCAAATGGCAGCAAACCACAGTAAGCTGAGCCGGCCCCAACTCAAGGCAGGGCTGCAGACAAACACTCAGGTTTGTAGACGCTCCTAGTTCAAGAGCTGGGCAGGTAGTGCACCTGTAGCAGTGGCAAAGGGGGGAGACTGCCACCCGGTTAGTGGGTGGCAGGGGGGGCGCAGGCCCACCCACTCTCCTGCGCCCCGGCCCAGGGGCCCTGAATGCAGCAGTTCAGCTGCTACGGGCTCAGCAGGGGCTCCAGCCCGCAACTTGCTGGCCTAGGGCTGTTCTCAGCCCATGCTAACCCCTGGGCCACTTCTTGTCTCCCCCTTCGCTGGTACCTGTACCTCCAGCAGGTCGTCAGGGAGTCGAGGCACCGTCGTCCCCGCAGTGTCCGGCCGGCCCAATCCAGGGGGCAAGGGGTTGGAGCTCTGCGGCGTCCTGCACGCTCATCCGGCCCGGTGTTCCAGGACCCATCGGGG